TAGGCTCCGGACTCTCATTTCAACTATACTCTTTTGCTATTCGCTTTATACATTTTTCAAAAAATATAAATAAAAAATAATTTTATCATATGGATCTTTAAATATAATAAATACAATATCATGAAGAAAAATATAATAATAGAGAAATAATTATAATTAATGAATACGAAGTGTAAAAATATTTATAGACTTCATAAAGTAAACAAATGTCATTTGAACATTTTATAATAATATTATGAACAATTATTATTAAATGTAGGAAGTAATATTTTATGCTTCAATTTTGTTGAAGATTATTGTAGTCGCTTAAAATTTATTAAATATAAATTTATAAAGTTGTTCGGATTATATTAAATTAATGAACATATTAGTCCAAATAAATATTATGGATTAATATAATTGATTTAATTATTTAAATTCAAATAAACATGAATTTGATTAAAGCCCGCTCCATAAAAGCCCATATGATATTTCACTTAAATCTGATTGGCCGAAGGGGTCTTATTCCAATCGCAACTCCTCTATTCTAAAACTATAAATAGGGGTCTCATAATTCAAAAAAAGAGAAGGAAGAAAATTCTATACAAAAAGCTAGAGAAAATCTGTGGTACAAACGCCATTTAATTCTCTACAAAACTACAAGTTTAAGAATTCAAGCATTCAAGTTCAAGAACGATGAAGATCAAGACCATCGAATTCAAGAACAAGCTCGAAGCCCTTGAATTCAAATAAAAGTCAAGATCAAGATAAAGTTCAAGTTCAAATTCATTAGAGATTCAAGAAGAAACTTTAAAACCCTTGAATTTATATTTGAAAAAGCGAATTCAGAGGAATCATAGAGATTGTAACACTCACATTTGAAATAATGAAATCGACTGTTGCTATAATCTTTCGTTCTTGATTATTGTTTTCTCGACGCGAATTTTATTGTCTACGAATTCTGGCACGCCCAGTGGGACAATCTCTACCTTTCATCTAAACTTTTCAAGTATCAAAGAATATCAAAATGTCTTCTACTATAGAAGAGCAACTAGCAAGCTTAACTAAAGCAATTGAAGGCCTGACAAAGTGCGGATACGAACAAGATGCTAAACTTACAAAGCTAACAAATAAGATGGATAACATGATTGAAAGAAGATTAAGTCAATCACCTCCGAAGCTTTTTAAAATTCAAAACAAAGAAGTGTCTTGCTTAAAACAAACAAAGATCAAAGAGATTCATATCACAGACGAAGGTTTGATTCCAATTGATCAGTTAAAGAACTTTATCATAGAGACAATCGAAGACAAATCTGAGTCTTCATCCAAATTTTATCCCATATATGCAAAGCCATATACACATAGGGTTGATAACTTGAAAATGTCTGAGGGTTATCAACCTCCAAAGTTTCAACAATTTGATGGCAAAGGAAATCCCAAACAATGTATAGCACACTTTATCAAGACTTGCAATGATGTTGGGACGTATGGCGATTATCTTGTTAAAGAGTTCGTTCGATCTCTCAGAGAAAATGCATTTTATTGGTACATAGATCTTGAACCTAATTCTATAGATAGTTGGGAGCGATTAGAGCAAGAGTTCCTTAATCGTTTTTATAGCACAAGACGTGTCGTTAGTATGATGAAGCATACAAAGGCTCGTCAAGGTGAAGATGAGTTAGTTGTTAACTTTATCAATCGTTGGAGAAGTTTGAGTCTCAACTGCAAAGATCGCCTTATTGAAATTTCTAGCATTGAAATGTGCATCCAAGGTATGAATTGAGGTCTTCACTACATTTTGCAAGGATTAAAGCCCAATACATTTGAAGAGTTGGCAACTTATGCACATGACATGGAATTAAGCATGACTTTATGCGAAGATCAACAATATCCTGTCTATGGACCTCACGAAGATGAACATATAGAAGAACTCCAAAGTGGTGGCAAATCTGCATCCAAAGATGACTTTGAAAAGAGTCAATGTATATCTTGACGCTCCTTAATGCATGAGCTTAAACTGCAAGTTAAAATGCTCCTTGAAACAAGAGCTTAAACTGTATCTCATTTAGATTTACAATGCTCCTTGAAACAAGAGCTTAAACTGTATCTCATTTAGATCTTTAAGTTTAAATGCTCCATAAAACACGAGCTTAAACTGTATGTCACTTAAATCTTCAAGTTAGAATTAAATCTTCAAGTTGAAATGATCATTGAAACACAAGCTTAAACTGTATATCACTTAAATCTTCAAGTTTGAGTTAAATA